AGTTGTTCAAGGCCCATTTGAGGCATGCCAGATTTGAGGTCCAACAGCTTCGAGAAGCCAGTGATTTGTTTCAGACTTTGTTCGGTGAGCGCAGGCATGCGTTTAGCCTGATGGCACCACTGGTCGTCCAACCGCTATTCCAATCTTTTCTCGGCTGCGGCCCACCGACGACCGTCCGGGCCGCTCTCCCACACAGCTGGGTCGAATGCGCTGCCCAGGCTATGGTTTCCAGTTCGCGTTGGGTCCCAAGACCGAGGACCGTCCGGGCCGAGGGTCCGGAGTGGGGTGGAGCGAACCCCCAGCGTCCGATCGTTCCGAGCAGCGTATGGCTCCTGGAACCCCTAATTAAGAGCGTCCTATTGCTAGTAAGGCCAGGAGCCCCTATAGCGTCCTGTAAAACCAAGAATCAAGCAACAGCCAACCCTGGCAGATTTGCGTCGCTCTCAAGTTGTTACGCTGGGTGGTTCAGCCTTTGAATGGGCCCAGGACCCTGACAGCCCGCGAGCAGTGCGACTCACGCCCAACGCCGGGCACTCGGAGGCGGCATTCGTGTCTTGCCCTGGCGCTCCGGACGACACATGCAGCTTGGCAGAGCTAGAGTAGGTCGTTTTTGTTTCTTCACTCCTGCTCTAAATTGAGGTCGTGCTACCATTCATATACTCTATAATTAGCCTTGAAAGTTCGGGGCAAACACCAACACCATGTCAACTGGCAGAAATCATATGAAATCATATGAATGCGCGGCGATCAAACGCAGAAAAATCCCCTCCCCAAACATGGGTTGGAACATGTTGGAACATGCTTGGACCGGTCTCACTGGACCGGTCTCACGCCCACACCACGTGGTGGATGGAGTCAAGACGATCAGTCAGAGATCATGGCATCATCCAAAGCAGCATTTCTTGCGTAAGCCAAGGGCGTTTTGGGTGCACCCACCTATCCTTGTGGAAAAGCTACCTAGGGTGTGAAGATATGTGAAGTCTGAAGATGTCCTTGTTTAAAGCCTGAAGAATCGAAGAGGCTTTCAGAGAGCTGATTAGCTAAGAACCTTGGTGCTAACATGTGCTAACGACTTTCTTTGGCCGGCGTTGCCTCAGTCACATGAATGACGTGGCCAGCAGAAATAGGAAAGTGTGGAAGAGTTGTTTGGCTGCTGATTGCGCAGGTGGGTCATTGTGTGGGAACCTTTGGTTTGGATCTTCTGGGCCTTCAGCGCCAACATATGACACAGGTGTTTCATCCAAGATGGTCATTGTGAGTCTTCCTTGGGGCAACGATTTTCATCCAAGGTTACGATTGCGTGGATCCTCCATCGATTCACCCGTCCAATGAGACACCGCACAAATCAACCAGCTTCACCTATGCCTGCAGAGTCTTGAATCGAACCGGGACCGGACAGCGCTCGAAGGGAGAGATCGAATTGGGCTGCATGGATGTGGGGCATTGATGGCGCAGGATGTAGCAGGTGTGGAGCGGTGTAAGGCTGGCATTTCCACCTACGAAGAGGTGTCCTCCTGCAACAGAACTAGTGGCACCCGTTTGAGGAACTGAAGCACCCACAGATCCAGGGCCTCAAACCTAGTCAATACGTCGAACCACTTCCGACCTATCGATCTGTTCCACTCCAAGAATTGTCCTTTATACATCTATAGGGATCCAACGGCTGCGGCCCCTTTCCAACGGCTGCTTCCGCTCTTTGTCGGTGTCTCCGGGTCTTGGTGGAACGACCCGGTCGGTGGAACCCATCGATCCGCCGATCCGGTGTCGCATGGAAACCGCCCGGCCAAGGCAATGCATGGGCCATCCAAGTTTGCTCATTGGCCAGCTACAATGGCACGGTCTATGGGCAGTACTCTCACTACTCAGAGCCTCGGATGAAAGAAGAGGGAGGCATGTTGAGTGCAGATGGGCGGCCATGGGATGCCGGTATGAGACTCAGCCGTTCATGAAGAAACAGGCAGGTAACCGATTCAATCATTGGGTTGAAGTTAAGTCTTATATTTTATGTATCATGCAGCCTAAGATTCTCATGGTCAGTGAAGCTACCGCATTGCCCAAGGGCCACGAACAGGCTTTTTCACAGGGATCCACGGATGACGTCTTCCCTCATCGCCCAGGTTCAAACCAAACCTTGCCAGGTGTTCAACCTGAGAAACATGGATCCGACCTTAAACCAAACAGAGGAAAGTCATCGGAACATCCAATGAATCCAGTCAAGTCGATCCACGATATTCAGAAGATTCACCCTTGTTCTTGGCAGTGTCAACATGGCCACAAGCTGATCCCAAGCAAGTTTTGCTGAGCCATGGATACCAATGGCATACTTTGCATTGCACCGAAGCTGAAGCTAAGAACGGTTCTTGGGGCCCCCCGAAACGCCGTGCGCCACAAGTCCTTCAGATCACACTAGTCCGAGCTTCATAGATCTGAAGCCACACCGCTGGTACTCGGCTCTCAGGAATGCAACTGCCCAGTCTCAAGCTGGTACCGGGCAAAGTTCTTGCCGGACACCCCCAGTTTCCGTTCACAGAGCCCGGATGTGCGTTTGGAGCCGGGTGGGGCCGGGTGGTACGGCCAGTTCTTTGTCAGCTCATGTTCTTGCAAAACAAGTCACCCACAACGAGTCGCCCAACGGGAGGAGGGCAGGGTTTTTGTTTGCTACAGCTGTTATCGTTCTTTCTCCAGGCGTCCGCCTCCATGGGGCATTCTTTGGAGAGAAGGGAGTCTATGGACTATAGTGATCTATAGTCCATACATTGGCCCATGGAGTTCCAACAGCATCATGAACACCTTGATAGAGGTTTCTTCAAACGGTGCTGTTCAGCCGAAGATTCGTTCAAGACATTTGCAAGACGATTATTGATCGCAAAGAGGAAACCAATCCAAGCCTGACCTCTTGCTGCCCAAGGAAGATCTCCCACTGCTATTCGGAGCAGGGCAAGGGCCAACTCCCCATGGTCACGAAAGCCGATGTTGAGCTGAACTGTGCCAAGTGGTGTGGAGCACGAGCCCCCACAGTCAGTGGTTTCAACAACTCCTGCTCCATCCTCCCAGGCCTTACCCGCGCGGGTCTTACGGCATTCCTTCCCGGGAATGGACTCCATATGGACTCTCACAGTGGACAAAGGTCTTGAGAATGGATGAGAATGGTGGTTCCAAGACAGGAGCCTTCCAGGTTGCGCTAGCTCAAGCACTAAAGCAACCTGGAACGCATATGTGCCACCGGTAAATGTGTGATGTTGCTTGTGTTTAGGAGAAAAAACAGGACCTGTGGCAATATTGGGCATGTTCTTTGTTTACGTGGTACCTGGAGTATGCTGGAGTACCCTCATTTGGAGTGCCCCCCCCATGCATAGACGGAAACGTATAAGCCCGGAAGAAGTCTACCCGAATCTAACCAACATCCTGGCAAGAAAAGGTGCGCAGCTAGTGCTACTTGATCGGCTCACAGTATCAAACAGGTTTGGGTGTGTCATGGCTTGTCAATTGCTAAGAAAAAGGCAGGCCACCATAGGCTACCTTCCTGTTCACCTTTGCCACATGTTTGGAGCAGACTGGGTAGACCAACCGCCATTTTTCGCAGACCGACCATTGTGGGGCAGGCTGCGAATGCCTGAAGAGCCAGCCAGCTTCTGGATCTTTCATCTATACACCTACGGGTGTGACGGGGACGAGTCGCTTGACTGAAGAGCCAATGGCCAAAGTTGTTATATACGTACATTCTGTAATTATGTATGTTGTATACATTTGTATACACACATGCATATGCATATATGCCTGCATTTTAACGATGTAACATGTAAGAATACAATATTGTGCATGTTGAAATTTGTTCCGCAGGGCATCAGTCATGTGCACAATTTTGCATGTTTCGGTGCTTGGACGGCCTGGGAGACATCTCTTTGATCTAGGCATGCCAGACACCCCCGGAAATTCACCTACCTTGGATTACCTTGGAGATCGTGTGGGGAACCTTGAGTTGTACAGGGTTGGTCGCAAAATGCTCAGGTATTGGCTCAGCAGTGCTGGGTGGAGCTCTTGTTCATTTGCTGCACCGTTTTGCTCCGAGCCGCAGCTACACACCACTTCTGGAGACCACCAGTGATCTCACATGAGACGAACGGTACGGACGGTCAGCTGAGAAGGAGGCTGTACGGACGTGGTGTGCTTTGGTCACCTTCGAAGGTCAAGGTGGAGCAGAGTTTAATTTTTGCTCTTGCTGTTCTGTACGGCAATAATCCAGAAGCAACAACCTAACAGCATGCGTCCTACAGTTTGCAAAAGTTGTATACTTCCTTAACGATAGAGAGAAGAGTCGTCTCATTTTCCGCCAAAGCTGCCGAATGAGCAACCATGGCTGTGCGTTTTGAACAATTGATTTTCAAGTTGAGCCTTTCAGAACTAATTTGTGTTTCGAAGGTTAGGCTGGCAGATCACAAGTCATCCGATACAGCACTGCTGGAGAACAAAGCCATTAGTGCGTTTTGCAATGAGCTTCGTCGCTGTGTCCTAGCAGTAGCAAACATTCAGGACCTTGATGATGCTTTGGATGAAGCAAGGGAAGTTTCGATATCTTTTACCTCCTACTTGGTGGGCATCACCACCTTGAAACTTTTGACAGAGGGAATGCAGGACTGAAACTGACTATTTGTTTTGTATTGTTTTGCATGGTTATTTTTTGGGGGGTTGTCGAGCTAGCATCACAATGACGCGGCTGAATCTGAAATGCCATTCTGAGGAAGAGAATGTGTGGGTTGAAAGCAAAACCACTCGAGCTCCGAAGGTTACCTACATCTACCTCCGTCAGCACCGAAAACACCATCACTAAACATAATGATCAGCAAAGGTTCAAACAGAATTATCTTTCAACGCAACATTTGATGATGCAACTGAATTAAACATAACTGTCATAACTAGAACCGCTCGCGGGTTTTTAGATGTTTTTAGTGTCGCTTTTTCTGGCCAAGTGGCTGGCTTCCCATGGAGCACTTGAGCCGCAGGTGCCGTCGGAGTACTCGAACCTGCCCCGGCTGGATGGTTGGGACCTTGGAACTACTTGGTGGGTTTCATGTAGACATACCCTCTCTCCAAGCCTCGGTAGATAGACCTGACCAACGGACTTCCCCTTATGTTTGGCTGCTCAGCTGGTGATCCCAACTCTCCAACATTATCCAACAACCACGGAAGTGGATGGTTGTTTTCTATTTGTCCGAATGCCAAACAGGGGGGGGTTGCCCACTTCATCCCATTTCCATGTGTGTTGGAGGGGTGGTAACAGGTTCCATTTGCGGAACCTGCTGCAAAAGTCTATGTCGGCAACATGTTTGGGGTCCAGTGGGTGTTAGGAGTGGTGAGCTTTGGCTTGCCCATGGCTAACTCGGACTCGTACCCAAGCTGGATGATGTCAGCCAAGACTTCATGGATGTGGTTTGCAGGAGTCGCGCACGAGTTCTGCACGAGTCGCGCTTGAACCTACACCCCCACGTCGCTGGCCGGCGCCCCCAGGCCGAGCAGTGGTGGAGTTCACCCTGGTCCGAGGACCGGAGGCCGGCACCAAAGTGCCGGGGACGCCCAGCTTTGCGATCGCGAGGAGAACGCCGAAGTCACCGGTGGCTTTTGGGCTGAAGTGTGGCATGGTGGGATTCTTGAGTGTTGCGAAGCCGTGGGTTTCCCTATGCCATAGATAGAGATATGCCGTATATAGAATTGTAAAAGCTCAGTTCACTATGGTTCCGACCTGTCCAACATCTCTAGCAGACCCAAGCAGGCCCAATCGTCCCACCCGCTGTGGATGCCTCCTGTGGTGCCCACCGAATGAGACCTGACCTGTCAGTGGCCGCAACCAGGTACTCGGTGGATTCCGATCTGTACAACGAGGTGGATTCCGATGTGACTCTTTTCTTCGAGCTGCGCTTTGCAGCTCCGATTAGACATGGTCAACGAAACGACCTATTTGGGGCGCTAATGTATTTGCGATTAACAATGATGGAGAAGATAAGTTTTGAACCCACCCAGAGTTGCATAGGACCATCCTAGGACCATACTACGGCTTAAAATCCACCTTGATTTTTCTGGCTGAAGCCGTTTGCAGCTCTATGTTCCGGCGTACGGCAAAGCAATTTTTGCCAAGCGTTTTGCCACCAGGGATTGAAATCAGGGTGCTGCAAGAGTTGCTCATTTCGTTTAACCCATTCCCACCCTTTGTTTTTTAATAGAGCCTTGAAGCAATTACCACTCAAGGACAATTAGTAGTCCGTCTCACTTCAACGTTGTTTTTGGCGATGTCATGTTCCGCTTGCCAGGCCAAGTTTAAATTGACTGTGGATGGCTATGCCGCTCCTTTATCCGCCTGGGAGCCTATGCCATTGCCACTCCAGACACGGCCAGACAGAGCTGAAGCACAAGCGGGTTGGGCAGCACACGGTCCGCGGGTGTGAAGGGGAAAAGGCTGCCTTTTTGGGGATGAGCCACTGAGCACATCTACGACTCTAGACTCTAGAGTCGACGTGTTTGGGACATTTTCGCGCTTTAGCAAGATAATTAGGACCGGATTGATGATGGAATGTTTATTTTGATTTGAGTATGATTGTACTCTTGCAAGCTTATATACCACAGTAAGTGTTTGGGTTTTGCTTGGAGAGGAGCCATTTGGGGGAAAAGGGTTCTTGCCTGATGTCTATTGAGGTTGCTCAACTCATTCAAGAACCAAAGCCTCGCTGCGCCTGAGAGTTCACGACAGGGGATCATCGGAGAATCGATGATCTTTGAAGAGCCTTTGTGTCAACATGTAAGAAAACCCAAGACCGAAACACATGCCTGAAAAGCGGTTCTTTCCAGCATGATGTTAAGCACAGTTACGGGCTCCGGGAGTTCCAGCCACATGTTCTTCGCCAGCCTGGTGGTTTGCACACTGTGCCATTGCTGGATCGATGGTTGATCGTCACAGGACTGGAGTCAATGTTTGAACCGATGCTTTGGACAGACAGGACGGACAGATACTGTATCTCAGATTGCTCATCAAATTCCCGACTAAGACTGTCCTCGAAATGCAGTCAGTTGAAACACGTATGCTAAAGATCCCAAACGGTGCGGCAGAATTCCTTCAAACGTAGGTAGATTCTTGTAGTACTGCCTCTCCAATGTCAATCACCTACAAATACTTCTGGATTAATGGGTCAAACCAACGAAGCATAACCAAACCCTAAGACATACAACATCTCCATTCCATGAAAATGGCTGGCAGATACCATTCACCCAAAGGAACTACCAAGGTCCATGGCACACGACGGTCCCTCCCGTGCCCCGCCCCACGTGGCGTGTTTGCTCCGAGGCCGGGAACTTCGTGGACCTGGTGCAGCGGGGCTTCTACACCGGGCCCGGGCGACCCGGTTTTCGTGCTTTTCGGGCGACCCGGTGACCGGTGAGGCGACACCCAGAGACCTCAAACGAATCATGAATGATTTATACAATCATAATGTATCATATGCATTTAAAAGTGTTCGTATATATAAATGATTCAATGATGTATAAATACTATAAAAAAAAGACTAACACGTCATTTTAACGGCCGCTGACGAAAGCAACACCTAACACCTATCACGCAGCAGTTAGAGAACCTACTGACTGTATTATATGTAATACTAACGTTGCATTCCAAATGAGTTTCAAGCACCTCCTTTGGGATGTCCCGTTGATTTCTTCCGTCATCCTATCAACAGCTTGTCCGAGATCTACTGCAATCCAGTGGCACTTGGGCTGGGAATTTGCAGAGTTGCTGGATCCTTTTGGAACTCCAAGCCCTCCGTTCCATCACGGCCAGGATGGACATCCAACGGGCGGATGGCTTCATTATCCAGTGCAGCTGCCATGTCTTAGATAAGAGACATCGGCAATGGGGGCAATGCACCCCAAGAGTGTTTAGACTGTAGAGCTGTATGAGAAGACCCATCTTGCGAACTTTTGCTTGGTCGTGCTATCTCTTGCAATCCGGAGCGGGTAGAATACTCTAATTCCACCCCGCAACGTCATAGCATCATGTTCGCAGACCACCAGGACGGGCGACCCCGGCCCGGAGAAGGGTGGCGGCTTTCAACCCACCCCCGGTGGACCTGCGTGGACGCCCGGTGAGCTCAATGGGGCCAGGGTGTGTTCTTCGCCGACCGGAAAGACATGAAAGACAAGACAGTGCGGCCTTCACCATGCATATCACAACTTCAGACAGTCTTGCATGGCCTGCGCATCCACGCCTGCAGCCCAGCCCAAATGTGGGTTTCACCGAAATTCATTCATTCCGATTCATCGATCAGTCAGTGGACCTTTGGTTGACACCCGTTCCAATAAAATACGTCAGTTAGGGCCTTAGGGGGATTCTTCACCTGGCCAACTTGGATCATGCTATTTCAAATGGATCAAAGGGGAGGATATCAAAGATAAGTTAAACCATTCTGAAATACAAAGTCTTTGCAATGTTTGAGCAAATCTTGAGTGCAAGCCAATAGACAAGAGAAGGTTCGCTCTTTTGGCATGTGTTCCGCCCAACCTTTCGCTTCAGGTGCGGCAGATCCCGCTGGAAGTGGGCATCCGTGGCCGGCCCGAGGCATCAACCGAACCCACCGCGCGAAGCGCGAAGCGTGTGGTGTCCCAGCCAAGTCCACTGCCTGATCTCAGCAGCCGCGCTTCTTGCGGCCACATGGTGCCCACCTGGTTGGGTTGCATCCCATGCTATTTATTATATCACGTTCATTTGAGAGATGAGTATCATCAAATTTGATTCATTGTTTATTCACAAACCAAAGATCCTCGGCAATGATCAAATCTTCTCAGATTCTCAAGAAAAGATGAATATATAGCTCATTTGCTCTTAATTTGTCCTTTGTTTGTTCCTTATTTGCTGAATCCTTATTTGTATGTTAAATGCTTTTATGTTTCAAACTGGCTTGTTTCCATATGGCTCGTTCTTTTGGCCTATGATAAACTCAAGCAATCGTGGACCTCAAACCAGAAAGAAGATTGAAACACCGCTGAAACCTTGGAAACCGTTTCTAGCCATATACTTGGAGGCCTACTGTAGGCTCGCTTTTTTATGTCATATATAATCATATATATATAGTTATATATATATATTCTATATAGTTATATATATATATATATTTATCCACAAACTCTCGGTCATTTTCTCCACCAACTCTCGGGCGCCACAGACCTTGTACGGGGAGACCGTGGATGAAGCGCGCCTCGTGGGGAAACCAGTGAAGATCCCCTTTCAGGCACGCTGACCGGCGGCCGCGGGGCGTTCACCAGTCCGGTGCAGGGGGAATGCGACCCATGGGACTTGCAAAAGACCATGGAAGGTTGGACGATGACTGTAGACTTGAGTGGAAAGAGTTGAAACAAGTTGATAAGGGGGCGTTGCGACATGGACGTGTTTGGGGTTTGTTTAACTTCTTTGGGATGTTTGGGACATTTGGGGACTTTCTTACATCATATCCTTGGCTGGAAACCTACCCGAAGAGCACGTTGTGTCAGGAGAAAGCGTAATAAAGCACACTGAAGCATGATTGGCACTATCATGTCCGGTTCTCGTGGCGAACCATTGATCCACACCCTGAAACCCGAACAGTGTTGGAAACCGGAAGGGCTCAATGGGCTCAGTGGAGAGGCAACCATAGGCAACCCAGCTACTGAGCAATGTCGTATAGTATAGTGTGATTCTAAACTTTTCCCATGCTTGATGTAGACTCTTGATGAACTAAAGACTCACCGCCAAAAGCAAATTGTCCAATAGGTGCAGCCACCCGCCTCAGGCCGATGGCACGGCGGCCTTGGCGCGCCGGGAGTTCGACAACGACTCCGCGCGGGAGCCGAAAATGGGGGGCGCCAGAGGTCCTGAAGAGCTGAGGAGTGAAGCTTTGGAGAGCTTGAGGGAGACAGAAGTTGTGAGGAGTGTAACCCGGGCAGCTTCAGTGGCATCTTGGAACATCTTGCAACCTGTCTCCCTGCTTGAGCTCGCAAGTTGCGAGATTCTGGTGAGTGTTGTTGACTAGGTGAATTCGACCAACTGAGTGGATCAGATAGGCCCAGAAACGTGTGTCCCCATTCTTCTATCCCTGCTTCATGGCCCCAAAGCCACACCATGCCCACGTATGCTTGTTCGGCTTCGCTCTCTTGTCGCCGCAGCCCAGGCCTCATCTCAGGTCTTTTTCTTCCTTTTCGAGTCGGCCCGGGCCCAAATGGCCATGTTCTGTTGCAGAGCACTGCGATGACTGCAGTCAGGGTGGGAAATGTATCACTTTGAATCTGTGTTAACTCCGTTGTGGTGTGGTGTTTTCAGTTCCCATTGGGGTTGCCGTTACATTATTTTACAGTACGTTTAGAGGCTTGTTGGTCCGTTCAAGAGTTTGTTCGAGGATGTGCAACCAAAAAGAAGAAGAACGCATGCACTCACATTGTATGTCCATTGAATGTCACCATGAATTTATTTGTTTTGCCACTATGAGTCAGGTTCCTTGTGTTGGTGTTGGTAAAATAGAAAGGTTGCCAAGGAATGCTGCATGTAGCATAGACCTGTTCAGAATCTCGCTACATATAATGTGTATATGTATGTGATTAATTTTCTGTGCATATATTTACTATATTTTGTTTATGTATAACAGAACGTATGTATAACAGACCGTTGAATAACCATATATTCCACACCTGGGAGGCACGTCTAGAGTCTATATATTCTTGAGGCAGCCCATCCCACACGCTCTTCGGTGATTTGCAAGGATGCTGCAGCTTTTGCCATAACAGCAGATGCCCAGTATCGCTGCCGCAGGTGACAAACAGGGACCTATCCTTACGAACGATCTCCAAACATTGAGTCAATCACTCACGCTCTTGACCCTCCAAGCAGACTCGTCACATCAGTCCAGCTAGAGCATGTACGATGAGTTGGACTACTTGTTCCTCCTGATCTATGCTCTACTGCCTACTGCCAGCTCAGAGAGGGTTGCACGGCAAGATTTGTGAGCTCTCCTCACCCAAGACGAAGCATCCGCACCAGCCGATACAGTAGAACACGCACAGAAGGGCGCAGTTCCCAGTCCACGCGGCCCATGTGGAGGACACAGTGCAGAGAAGCCCCGGCAGGGGAAATCCACCGGGCCAGAAGAGACCAAGCTAGACTAGACCTGTGAGAAAGTAGAAGTTTTACCCTCACAAAACATGGGCAATTCGGGATACGGGATTCATGTGGAGGCCTACGCTGCCATGCAGGGTTTCAAGATGTTTCAAGATTCGCCTGATCTTGTGTAATGTAGGGAAGTGCCTGTGGTTTGCCGTTGGTTGATTGCTTGTGTCCAGGAGAGCGATGGTGACTTGGAGTGCATATATATATGCAGATATATATATATATATAAGAGTTCCCAGCAGGGCAAGAACACGAAAGTCAAAGCAAGTACTGTACTGTATTGGAAGGACCGAACGGTCAAAGGCCTTGTTGAGCACGACAAGTTCATTTCCTCCCGGAGCAGACACTGGCAAATGCCTGTCAGAGCTGTTTTGTGGAGAAAGACTGCACCAATTGCCAGATGGTGCACTCCATCATGAGACAGTTTTTATATGTTTGTATCACTGCAGTCAGCCGATCCACCATCGTGGAGTGACCCACTGGGCACCATGCATCCTCCGTGTCCGTCCAATTCCGCACGGCGTCGTTTGGACGTAGAAATATATAATGGCTCCAAGGCCATGGCACTGCGCCTTCTTCTACTGCCCTTGGCCACCAGCGCCTTCTTCAGCAGAAGTCGGTGATGAATCAGCTGAGTGTTTGAGTTTTTGAATGGGTCCCGGGTTTTCGCGGAAAGAATCCTTTGAGTCAACGCCGTTCCCAGATTGCATAGAGTCCAGAGATGGTGGGGCTGGCAGGGAACCTTTTGCCTTGTTTCATGCAATTCCCTTGTTTTGCAAAATCCTATCGAGCATATGACAACTTCTTCAAAGCAGTGCGAGTGGTCCTTCGTGTAGGACCGGATGAATTGGTATATGCATGGTGGGTGCCGTGATACGGTGGACCCAACATGTCTGACGACACACGACGTCCACACGCAGCTCAAGGACCCTCCACGGTCGACGGATCTATATAACCTGCCAACTCAGGAGGCTTCGACATCGATGGCTGTACCAGCAGCTGGGCGAAGGTCTTGGAGTTGAAACTGGTTGTTAGGTATCATGGATGACCTCATGGATGATCATGGTGCTGGCTGAAGAGTTTTAGATGCTAATGTGCTCCAATGACATGGAAAAAGATTGAAAAAGACTATGTAATATCAGAAACCCATTGGTCCACCTTTGTAACAGGACATTCCAACAAGTGGCGTTGGAAACCTGAGGCGGACCACAATAGGTCTTGGACGGATGGTCTAGGCACCAATGTGACTGTGTCAACTCCCATGAGAGTCTGAAAGGATATTCAGTCATCCTGCAGGAATGGGTATGGCCGGCGCCGGTATGGCGTTTCATCAAACTAGCCTTCTCGGGATTCAGGACTTTCAGGAGTCAGGGTTGTGAATGTTGGTCAAGGTTTTGAGAAATTGTTGAAACGAGGCTGTCCAAGAAACTGATTCCCAAAGAAAATCCACCCACTTGTGGCGGCCTTTAGGTCAATGTTTGGATTGTTTTGAAAACCACTCAGGTATACTCAGGTTAAAAAACAGAAAATCTCAGAAACTGGGAATGCATGTCGTCACACTTAGGTGACCACGCAGTTGTTGTAACCAGCTCTGGCCCTTGCGATCTGGAACATCTGCGTCAGCCTGGCCCTTGAGGCATTGTGGTGAATGCCGATGCGATGCAGGACGGCTCAGCGGTCACCTCCCATGCGAATGACTGCGCCGAAGCGTGGCGGCGGACGGGCGATGGGCCGGTGGGAGACGGAAGGGAAGTAGACAAAACAGGTGGGCGGGCGGTTGTGTTATATATATATATATATGTTTTGTTTTGTTTTTTCTCAGGGTGATGATCGATCGCTGACGATTGGTCAGTTTGGGTTCTTTGGGGTGAAAACGAAGCCACACAGCGGTTGTGTTTCAAGAACCACTTCCAACCCAATTGATGAACGCAGATCATGGGATCAGTGAGGGTTCGCGCTTGTCCTTTTGAAGCTCATGCTGCGCGACATCGTGTCCGAAGTGGGAGGTGTTTTTGGTGCTTGATGCCACAGCCAAGGATTGCGATTGGCGAGTGGCCTATGTCCCAGCGACTGGGGCGAGCAGAAGAGTTTGGAAGGTTTCTCCAATCTGTGAACCTTACATGGTGCCATATGGTGCCTATGTCCGATGTCACCGCTGTTCGTTTTGAGTCCATTCGATGTCACCTTCATCAGTCCCAAAGGATTATGTCCATGTGGCTTGGTGGCTTGCAACCAGTGACTGTAGCACTGTAGATGATTACTTTGACCACCACAAAGCCATAGTATAGACATAGTATGTACTAGGACCCCATTAGGACGCATTAGATATCATTATATAGGTGGCTTTGGGAGACTCGCACAGGAATCTCAACTGTTCCGTTTGTTGGTACTATTTGATCGATTTTATGCGTGCCCTTGTGGTCAAATATATATATTTTTTTTTAATTTATGTTTTGATACATTCACCTGGAAGATGGAACTGGTTGGGATTTGTATTAATTTGTGTTGCATTGGATGTGATTGAAGAGGGGCCAGCAAGTTTGCAGTGGGTTGCAGTCACTTTTTCTAGCCTATGGACATAACCCGCGGGGATCAAGGAACGCTTGTTTTTGGTCAAGAGAGTCCAACCCGCTTCTTGGAGTCGAATGCCCTTGGCCCTGGCCCTGGCCCCTGCCATGTTCACAGAGAATCATGGAGAATCGTGGTCGGTTGAGGCGTCATTAGCACCGTCGGTGGAATTTTTGCCGGGGCCGTCGTCGATGCGGCACAAGATGGGCACTGAAATGCGAGCCTAGAATCACTTGTGTTCAACAAGACCCAGCTACTTGTGGTGTGAAAAAACATGAAAACACATGAAAAAAACCACAGAAGTGTTAATTCAAAAAAGCAACAAAACTGTACAACACTAGCATGTTTGCCAAAAAACATGTCGCCTGTTGCGTCGCTCCATGCGTTGCAGTTCTACCCACCAGACGTGTTGACATGTCGCCCTTTTTCCAGCCTCCCGAGGCACAGGATCATCCAGAAGGATCGGTGTCTTGGCACAGATACGAGGGAACCCGCTGTTTGTCATGCTGATGGATGCTGGACATTTGACCAGTGTTTTCCAACAGGCTCAAGATTGGTTCAAGAGTGAAGTGGAAACTGCATTGTATAGATCTTTGGGGATCAAAGCCAGCTTTGACAAAAAACGCTCCCAGGAGCGGATCATCTACGATGCGGTGTGGAGTCAATATCCACGGCTGGTGGATCCTTCCCGCAGCCTGGCCCAGCAGCGAGAATCGCTCAGGCATAGGTGGCAGGTGTCGTAGCAGTCGCAGTAGGTGACACGAGTTCGAACGCGCGAGTTCGAGGCTCCAAGTCCTATCAGCCAGCGATGGGCATCACCTCCACTGCGGTGCTGGGACGCATCCCTCAGGCCCATAAGACCATGGGTGTGAAGATACGGGGGGGGGTCAAGATCAGAGGAAGAGGAAGCAAGAAGTTCATATCCGTCCAGTGTCCAGTCATGTTCTTCCACTGAAGCTTTTCACCCAAACAAGCATCCGTTGGCAGGTTCTCGCCAGGAAGCCACCAGTCAGTATAACCAATCATTTGTTGCATACCTATGTCTTCCAAGAGCTTCACTTTTTTAGTCTTTGGTGGACAAAACCGTTTTTGCCCGGCTGAGGACTGAACTTTGTGTAGTTGGCTGTTTGGAGATCTTTTTGGGTTTCCAGGGACCTTTCTTGATATTCCTGTGTCTCAAGGCCTTTTTCACTGCATGATCCACTTTGGCCTCATCCAGGCTGCCACTTTAGGCAGAATTGTTAGGCGCAATCATCTTGTGAGAGATTTGCGACAAACGCCACAAACATGCATCAATCCAGGAGGAATGACAAGATCTTTTAGTGAAGAAACTGCTTCAAAGGACCAAGGCATGCTGACATAATGGTCCGTCTAAGACTTTGATTACGTAAAGAACTGCAATCTTGGACCATCTCTCATGAGCACTCTCATGAGCGAACCCGTCTCTCACGGATGGCTTGGGCACCTTGCTGCCTCAGT